TATAAATTTTATGTCTCATGATTTATAGTAAATAAACTTTACAATGAATTTTAATCGTGACAATCAAATATTTGTTGAAGGAAAAGATAGCTAGCTTATAAAAGATTGTTCATTTGGTGAAAATTAGTAAAAAAACAATCCAACCTGAAACTTGTGTTTCATTGGCTCCTTTGCAGAAAAAAATGAAGAGATGGTCAATGTAGAAGAAACAAACATCTTTTTCTTTCTCTTCCTCTATACTAAAGTAACATGAGATAAATAAATATATATATATATATATATATATATATATATATTAACTTTATAAGTTCACATTATTTTTATATCAGAAATAATTATTAAAATTAATAAACATTTTCTTTTAAAAGTGATATAATTTATCAATGATAATTGTTTTTATTTTGATGTCTCTGTCTATTTAGGTTAATATTTTAGTTGTAATATATACGTAATAATAGGAAAATTAAAACAATTATCATAAATAATTTTTTCAACTTTATCAATATATTTCATTTTTTTATATAATAAAAATTTAAATTAATTTTTGTAGTGACTAGTTAAGATAAATAAACAAAAAATTAATCAATTTTTAAGTGATATGTATTCATTTCAATCCTTAAAGTTCTACCTTTTTATCTACAATATCATCAAATCTTCATAAATAAATATTTTATTTAAATATAATTTAATAATATAAATATAAATTAATAAATAAGGATTAATACGTACATTGAAAATAAATAATTAAATATAAAACAAATCAGTGTATAACTAGAGATAAATAAATAAATATAACAATAAATAAAATAAAATTAAAGACACTTTACTTAAAAATTATAAATAAAATAAGTAAGCATACTGATAAATATCTCATTCTCTTATTTAAACAATAACATATCATACAACAAATTTTTTTCCTAAATAATCTCCTCCCCTCCTCCACATGTGTTTATAGCTTTTTTTTCATTCAGTTCATGCTTCTCTCTTAAAGAGATAAGATTTCTATATTTTTGAATTAAGTTTTAATTATTTTTATTAATTAACTAATTATATATATATATATATATATATATATATATATATTTACTACTAATAGTATTTTTTTCATTTATTTTAATAATAATTTAACAATAATATAATTTTTTTTTGTCTTTTATTATAACAATATTTGAATTACCCAAAATATTATAGTTTAATATATTATATTTAAAAAAATTTACATAATAAATTTTGTTGAGGTGTTCCAACCTCAAAATAGGTTAGTTCTCATATGAGTGTAAACCCTTAAGAATGATAAGAGAAAGAAAGGAGGAGAAGCCCTGTATACAAAGAATTTTATGAGGGACACCCGATTGAATAATGTATATATGTTAAAATTAATTGTGGTATAAAAATAATTATGTTATTTAAAATCATAAATAATTATGTTATTTAAAATTATAAATTATCCTTATAAAACAAATATAAAAAAAAACTAAATATGTCTTGTTAAATGATATTTCATATTATAAAAATTATCAATATTTTCAATATTATTCATTGAATGTAAGTTAAAATTTATTTTATTATATATCATCTTTTTTCTCTTAAGAAAAAGTTTATTATTTTTTTAGACATGTTTAAAATTTAACCTAATTAATTTAGTCATATTTTTACATCAAACTTGAGTATAGTACAACATTAAAAATAAGATACATACTAATATGCTATAACAGGAATAAAAATAATAAAAAATTACTTACTTTAAAAAATATATGAAAACTAAAAAAAAAACTTATAATTTTTATGTTGTAAGATGAATACAGAAAAGAGAAAAGTATATAATTGGTGAAAAAAAAATGAATGTTTGAAGTTAAAGTGAGAGAAAAAAATTGTAAAATAAATAAAAGATTGAAAAATAATATAAATAAAAAATTTGTAAAAAAATAAAAAATATTATTATAATTATTGTTATTATATTTTTATAAAAAATATTTTTATTAAATTTTTAAATTTCTTATATATATACATATATATATATATATATATATATATAAATTAAAATTTTGGAAAATCGACCTTACGTTCCCTAATTCCTCCTCTCCTCTGATTAGATCATATAAAAATTAATATTTACGATAAATATATGATAAATTTTACTAACATAAATTTTAATTTTTACATCTTGTATAATTCTTTCTGTCCTTTAATCATATAAAATCTAATATAATTAAGAATTGATGTTTACTTATAATATATAATAAATTCGATTCAAATTTCAATTTTTACATCCTATTATATAAAACGTAACAGGAAGAATTATTTTAATTTTCAAAATATCATTTTTGACCTGAAGTATTTACTAATTTAATAAAAAAACATATTTTTACACTCGAGCTTATTGATTTGGTGTCTACGCCATTCTTCATGAGTGCATTCTGCCAGGTAAATTAGCTGTTGGTCACAATTGAGGCTATAATTAATAGAAGCCTAATAAAATAAGGTAGTAATTTAAATTTCTTATTAAGGAGATACACAAAATTGCACTTCATGCTCATTTGAAGTATTTATATTGCAGTTTTATAAGGAAAGTTTAAAGTATATAGTTGTATGTATTGGACAACCATTCTTATTATTATGCAGTGTAATGTTAGGATAATTTTGCTCAAAAGTTCTGTCAAATTTAGATGAATATTATATAAGAAAATCCCATGACAGTTAAAAGATAAGACTAATAATAGAAGACATTAATTAACATGATTTTGAACTTAAAAATTTTGTCAATACCATTCAAACTTTTATTTTTAGGTCAATCTTAATGAATTCAGTATAAACAAGTATTTGTGACTTATTTAGTGCAATTATAGGTATATGTTTAGTTCCTCATGAAACTAAACAATACCATTAATAAGGACTCACTTATTGAATACTATATATATAGTCTATAGATTTTTGTCTTTTGCCCAAAGCCACCAACAGCATCATCATGTTGTCCATGACATCATGTAACATTTGTGCCTAATTTGTTGGTGAAAAACAGCCCATGTTCTTCACCACAATCACTGCACCAATAGCCTCTCATGTCTATGTCCATACCTTGTTACTGAAACTTAATTCTAACTAGTAGTGACTCTTGGGAACCAACTCAATGGTTAGATTTGGACATTTTATACCCTATGTTGTTTAATGTAAGTTTTTGCCAAAAACAAAAGTGTTATTCAATTATGTTTTAACTCAAGTATTTATTTTAGTTCTTTCTCATTCCTTTTGTGCTATTGTAGCATTAACTTCACAGAACTACAAAGGGAAAGTGGGGGTACCAAGATTTTCTCCAACCAGAGAGAATAGATAAGTGGTCACACAATCTTGAACTGAATCCAAATATCAACATTTATTTTCCTATTTTTTATATAAAAAATAAACATGGAGACACTGACAGCATGCTGAGTCCCTCCAAGGATATATCCTTAATTAGTTCTGAACCTGCGATCTTTGTTTCATCCAAATTTGCAAAAATATATCATTAATTAGACCCTGACAACAAGGCCATTCCTCAAAGTAATTAACAAATTTAGCCTTCAGAGGACAACTAGAAGCATAGTGGTACGTTTTTGGGCAAATGCCCAAATTCAATCTTGAATTCTTTTTTGGAACCTTTTATATCCAAAAGAATTAACTAATTACTCATTCATGATTGTAACACAAGACTTAATATTATGAAATATAAGGCTTTTTAATTTATAGCACCCAAATACTTTAAGGTTTATTTCATGATTTTTAAGAACTAATAGACTAGGTTGATTTTTTTTTTTAAATTTAAATAAGTATATATTCTATTTCTTTAAAGAAATAATAAGGCATCAACAATGACAAGAAAAACGTAAAGATGGAAAATAAATGCATATCAATTAATGAAATTTGGTTTGTTAGAGTAACTTATCTTCTCCACCAATACCATTACAAATGGTCCTCAAAGTTTTTTTACATTATGGCCATGAAAGGTTACTCTTCTCATGTTTTTCTTCAACCCATGAAATGAAAAGGGATGGAAGAAAAGATGGAAAAAACCATTATTTTCACCTTTCAGTATATTTTTAAAAGAGATGGATGGAAAGAAGAAGAGAATCAACCGAGAAATAAATGACAAGAAAGAGGTTTCTTTTTGCAAACTTTAAAATTTTATTATATTATATTTTCTATTTTATATGCAATTAAATTAAGAGAAAAAAGTTAACTTTTTTTCTCATCATCTAAAAGTTATCTCCCTCTATACTGATTTTCCTTTCTCTCCTTCATTCATTTGGATTTCTAGCCTGAATAAAACATAACAAAAAATATACTTGGTATCCCAACCTTCAACCACTTTGTGTGGTTGAAATAAAAGTGACATTGCTGTAACGTGATTTGTGGCAGTGCTTGATGCATACATGAAGTACTATGTTAGTTATAAGGTCATATCACAACCTGTCTTTGTACTGTTAAAACGACAACGTCAAAAAGGTTGGGTTATGAATGGCTTGCCTTTGTTATTTTGCTTTTAAACTATGCTAACACTCTAAACATCACCTTGGAAAAAATAATTGATTTACAGTTTAAGTTCAAACGATGGAAAAATAGCAATTGATTTTAGCTGTTGATTATTCAATTAGCAATTATTATTTATTCTGTATTTTTCTCTTTAAAATGCATTCAATACTTAGAACCAAATCATCAATTAGTTATAGGTGTGTGCAGATTGTAGTTGTTGAACGATCATCAGAGGATTTTTTTTTAGGCATGCAATTCTGACATTTACAGCACATAAAAGCTTATAGAAGTAATTTAATTTATCTGGGTATTGAGAAATAGATTCATTTCTAACAGCATGCTTTGCAAAGTAAGGGCCTTTCTAGCATGTATAGTTTATGAAAGCTTATACATGTTACCTAATAATTGATTTGAGTAGGCAACATGTATATTCTTAGTTACATAGGAAATATTTTAGAGAGAAATAGGTCGGTGAATTTGGTAGCATCAAAACTTTACTTGGACTTGGTCCAAGAATCTTTGTCGAGCTTGGGATCTGTCTGGTAGTACACAATGTCCCCAGAGTCGCTAACGAAGTGATCCTGACTTATGCTGTGTAGCAAGAACTTTATAAGATGAAGTGGCAATGGTCCAGATTTCTGAGGCTCACGATAATACTTTCCAAGCACTGATTTTGCTGCATTAGTCTGCAGTGGGAAAACAAAAGGAAAAGAAGAAAAGAGCATATCAGGACCATAGAAGAAAATGATGCATTTTGAGACTAACAGAAATGATTTATGGAGAAAAAGGAGAATACCGCTTCCACCAAATGGTAATGTGGAATTTGAGGGAAAAGGTGATGGATAACATGGGTGCCAATGTCATGGTGAATGTTGTTAATCCAACCATAGTCACGATCTACGGTTGTAAGACCACCCCTTAGATAAGTCCATTCCTGTGAAATTGCGTTGACAGAGTAACATGATGAATCTTCTTTCCAAGTATGGAAAAATTGCACATAAATATGTTGTATGTTTTGAAGGGCCATAATTCATTAGAAAGGGGTTCCCTCTGTTTAAAATGAGCATGCGACAAATGGGAATAAAGTCGGTGAAAATAGTGGAAAGTGTGGAGTTAGAGGACAATATGGGCATGAATTTGACTTTCAAGGAATGTGCTGTTAGATCTAAAACTTGCTCCGTATTTTGACTCGATTTAAAACTAATTATTTTGCAATTCTCTTGAATTATTAATAAATTAAATTGTATTTATGAGCATGATACCTGGCCACGGTACCAAGGTAGTTTCTGCTTGTAACCATGATGATGCAAGTAGGTGACGAAATCCAGCCACATGACAAAGATCTACACATGTTGAAATAAGTGAACAATTGGACATGTGTTAACCAATTAATCGTGAAGAGTGTGTCAGAGTGAGATTACCAAATAGGGTACCCCATAGACTTTGAGCATCAAAATTGGACCTATTGTTAGGGAAAGATAGAGAAGCACAGAAAGCATGATGCCCCAACACAGGGTTGAAGTTACCACATCTTTTCTCTCACCAGGAGAGAACAAGTTGCTGTAAGGGTTGAAATGAGAACCTTCTTTCCCTGGGCTTCTGCTCCACTGAAATATGGTTCATATCAGAATGAGAGTGAGGGAAGCTAAAGCTAACAAAGCCAAAGGCCCTTTTGTTTATCTCCAATTGTGAATTGATTGTTCAATGACTAGAATATTCAATATAGAAGAGAAGAATTTAGAGATTGGTTCAAACTTTAAGGTAAGACTAGTATATTACATATCAGGAATAAAAGAAATTAAAAAGCAGAATAAAATAATGTTGTCATTCTGGAAAAGAGGGTCTCACCAAATAAAAGGGATATGCAAAGATTGGGAAAGGAAAAGTGTATCTCAGCATTCTTGTCATGTTGTCTAGATTCTTGTAAACCTCCTCTGTTAACTGAGGTAAAGTCATAAAAGACACAATCATGAACCGCCTCATGAAGTTCACATCCCTAGATTTTTCCTCCTCTTCTATTGGACCAACCAAATCTCACCACTCACGTAAACTGAGAAAAGAAAAGAAAAATGTGGAAATTAAGGAAACTCATACCGGAACCCAGGATTCATCCTTCTCAACATGTCCATGGTTTTGGTGGTGAGTCCTATGGCTGATTCTCCTGAAGAATCCATGAGTTATGAAATGGTTAGGTTGTCAAATCAGACTAAAGATTTAGCAAACAAAAGAAATTTAAGGACAAAGTGATCTAGAAAAGTTGCTAAAAGGGACCGACCATCCATTGTATGGTACTAGGATTGAGGAATGCAAGATGTGCCCCACAAAGCTATTCAATTTGGAACTGTTTGAAAAACTTCCATGCCCACTGTTCAACGCATCAACAAATCATAACTCACCAAGATGGAACACATGGATGATATGCAAAACCAAGTGAAAAATGCATAAGCATGACTGAGAAAAGGCATAACAATATAACATGAGAATTTTTATTTAGTTACCAATCATGTCCAAGAACAAACAGGGCCCAAAACATTGTGCCTTGTGCAGGCCAATAGAGCGTCCAGAAGAACCAGCTGTTGAAGCCAATTGCTGCAGCTACCAATGCAGTGACCACTAAGACATCCCTGAGAACATAACTCAGAGATCTCAGTGTGCTCTTCTTCCAGCAATGCTTTGGAATTGCTGCTCTGATATCTGCAATCTTAAAGGGTGGTGGAGCACTTGGATCAAAATAAGTTCGATCTTCTTGCCTTGCCCCATTACCAAAATGTTGCAGAGATTGTGCTTGAAACATTTTTGCCCTCTGTTACAATGTTGCTTTGGAGAGGAATTATAGCTCTATATATATAATGTGTATTGAGCTGGATGGTGATGAATTCTCTCAGCATCACACATCACACGCAAACACATATATAACAGCAAAAAAGTAACAGTAATAAGTAAAAATTAAAATAACAGCAGAGTAAATTTATTAACTCATTTACTTTTATACCCTTTACTTGTATTGCTTTTGTGACTAGATATGAATGAAAATCTTCCATAAGAGTTCTGATACACGTCATCTCAATGCCTTGGTTATATCAGGCCAGTGGGACTAACCAGCAAGGATTGTATTATACTCATTATAGAAACACGCAAATTGAGGAGAATTTTTATTTTTTTGGCTAAAATTTAGATATATATATATATATATATATATATATATATATATATATATATATATATATATATATATATAAATCCTTTGTTTAAGTCGTGATGATTTCAAATATATCAAATTAGGCAAAAACAATTCAACGAAATACTAAGATTGATGTTATTCTTAATTAAATATGCGACAAACTTTCTTTTTTATGATTATAATTTTAATAAGTATTTTGATCATCCATTGAGCATAAAATCTCTTTTAAACAGATTTGAAATTGCTCCAAAGTTCATTATCTCCTCTCAATTGAATCTATCCAAATATATAAGGGTCTCAATTTGAATTCCTATGCAATTTTTTTTCAGTTATTATTATACCTTGAAAATATTTTGAGTTTTTTTTTTCATGATTAAGTTTTCTATTTCATAACTTTTTGAATATGGTGATATATGTAATTTAAGATAAATTTCTCTTGTATAAAACAGAGTCAATAGTAATTTTTAAAACATACTTAGTTTTGGAATTATAAAATCTATACTTAATATAATTTGATGTGTATTTATAAATATATTTTTACATCAAATATTAAAAATTATTTTCATTCAGAACAATATATATCGAGAGTTTCTCTCTCTCTCTCTCTCTCTCTCTCTCTCTCACACACACACACACACATTAATGATATTTATTCAAAATATGAAATAACAAAATTAAAAAAAAAAAATCAATGATATTTATTCAAACGACTTCCCTCTGAGTTGACCAATCAAACCATGACAACCCAACTTCCTACATTTAACAAACTAGGTCTAATTAGTTTGTCGAAAAAATCATCAACATTCATTTTCATTTATTTTTTTTAACTGTAAGTGGTGAATTATTCCTCCATAACGTATGTACATGTTACTTTTTTTTCCAAATTCTTTATTTTTCTATTACTTTTTGCAACTCTTTCCTCATTTTCATCTTCGAACAACTAAAATGAACGAACTTGGGATATATTATTTTTTTTAATATCACAATAAATGATCACAAGATATAAAGTGCCTTATAATTTTTGTTTAGAGTGGTTAATTATCAATTTTTGTTCCCTCTATTTTTATTGAGATACAACATTATTTTGTTTTAGAAATATTATTTATATTTATTATTATTTATATTATAATATAATAATGTTATAAAACATGGAAAACAAGGATATTTGATTTAGATATATACCCCTTGTTTATACCCGTGATGATTTCAAATATATCAAATTAAACAGAAAAATTATAGAAAGCATAAGATGTTATTTCTTTCTTATTATCAAAGAAATTATTATCATTAAGTTTAGTGTTTATCATTATTTTAAATAAGTTCAGTGAAACATTTTATTATGAAACTATCATTGATTTTTATAATTTTGACCACCCAAAGAAAAATAATTTAACATGTTTTTTTCTTTTTAGAAATATGATTAAAAATGTAAAAAGTTTTAAACAATTTCATATTTTTATGTAATAATAATTTTTTTGACAACAATTTTTATTTAAGAGTAACCTTAAGATTGATGTTAAAATTATTGTTTTGTATACTTTAATTTAGACCAACAATGAATGCAAAATCACTTGTAACTTTGCAACTTGGAAGAGTTTTTTTCTTCCTCAATTTTCTTATTAAAATTAAAGATACTGACTAAAAGTAAATGAGATAATTAATATAATTCTTCACAAGCTTACCTAATTTCAGCAATAGCTAAACCAAATAACAAAATGATGAAATTAGCATAATAGGATGTAAGATTATTTGACCAACTTAATAACATTTCCCTAGTGCAATAAAACATTGAAATTCTTAAACATCACAATCCATGTGTTGGTATATTTTTTTCTAACTTAATGTTGTCCTTTTTTTCAGAAAATGGGATTAAACTCATCTTTAAACAAACAACATTTTTTCGTGACGTGAAGCAAGTGTGTGTGAAGTTGACATATGAACCCATAATCCAATCAATCACAACAATATTTTTGACACTTCACATAAAAAATGAAATTATGATCAATAATATTCATATTATGGGAAGATATACATGCTAACTCAACAAAGATTTAATTATGCTATGTAGCTAAACTTTACACGTCGAAAAAAATTGAAGCAACGAGAGATTCAACTTCAATAAATTAAGACGTAAATGATAGTTAATGAAATTGGAAAAAGATTAAAAGTTCCGTACGTGCAAGAGCTTTTAAACAAGTTGTTGTCGTGCAAGGTGCAACAAATCATTTACTTGGAGCTAAATGTCTATTCATTATTCATCCATCAATAATAAATTACACTTAATTGGGTAAGAATGATTTCATCCATTCATTTTAGTTGTATTGGCAACTTAGGGTTCACAAGTTTTGTATTATCTACATTTTACTTACACACGTATGCTTTTATAAAAGTTATAGAATTTTTGGAATCAAATCGCTACATTATCTCAAAATGATGATGCTCTTATAACATTTAGTAATATTACAACATATCATTGTTATTACTATTCAAAATTATGTTGCTTAAGCGCCAAATTAGACAAAGTATTAGGTAAATAAGTGGTAAAATACATATTAATACTGGTAAATAATTTAAGGTGGTTTTAACCCTTTCAAATAATTTAATAGTCTTAATTCTTATAAAGTCAAAACATTTAATAATTTTTTCTATCATTATTTTAGTCACGATATAATATATATTAATTATAACATGTTTATATGTAGATAGATATATTTTATTTCTTATTATACATGTGGTGTTATTATTCAACGGTAATAATTAAAAAAAATCAAACCTAAAAGTAAAAAAAATAAAAATATTTAAAGAACCACACTTAATGTAAATTATTTATTATAATTATTCTGTTTAGGAATTATTAAGTATTTATCTGTTACGATAAAATTGTTAGCGTTAGTTCTCATATTTTATTATTATTTATTTTAAATTTCTTAAATTTTATTTTATCTGTTTTAAAATTCTTAGATTTTATTTTTAAAAGGTGTATTATGGATAGTGAGAGGTTGTGTTATAAATTACTCAATTTTTAAGTGATATAAAATTTACGGTAAGAGTAATTAAAATATATTTGAGCCCAAACAAATTTTATGAAAGATTGTAGGAAATTTAGGGTAAAAAATATAAGATCATGTTATGGCAATGTTGCAGATTCTTAAAAGCTATAGTAAACGACGAACGTGGAGGGTCTGGCCCTTTTAAAAAAAAAGGAACAAATAAAGTGACTTTATTTTTATCTTTTAAAATGAATTAATTACTGAGTTTAGAAAAATGAGTTTTATATTCTAAAAAGTTTTATATCTACAAGGACATCACGCTTCCTGAGTTTACTCCTTGAACAAGCATGAAGCAGGATATTGTCGACTTTGTTGCGTATTAAAAGTGAGAAATAGTTAGATATTAGTAAGAATATTGTAAGAAATTAGTAAGAAAAAACCCACTCAAACCGATTTATTCAACAAAATCTTATCTTATTTCTCATATTCCTCATTAGTCAACCAACCCATCTTCTGTTTTTTTTTTCTATGGAATTTACCTCATGAATTTAATATTGTGGTTAGTGGCAAAATTTTAGAGAATAATATCACTACAAGAAAAAACGACCGAAAAAATCGGTCGCTAATGACCAAAAATCGGTCGTTATTCTGTTAGCGACCGAAATGGTTGGTCGCAAAAGGGCAAGTCGCTAATTTGTTAGCGACCGATTTACATTTCGGTCGCTAAATAGCGACCGATGAGGTGGTCGCTAAATAATTTGGTCACTTATGCATTGAAGACCAAAATAGCGACCGAAAATAATATAATAAATCGGTCGCTAAATCGGTCGCTAAATCTGTGGTAAAGTTTTAAAAAATAGCGACCGATATATTCGGTCGCTAATATATTAGTATAATTATTTAAATAATAATTAAAATTGGTCGCTAAATCGGTCGCTAAAATGGAGACAAAGTTAAAAATAATAACGACGGATATAATCGGTCGTTAATATATTAATTGAATTATTTAAATAATAATTTAAATCGGTCGCTAAATTGGTCGCTAAATTTGAATGGTATATTATAATAAATTTGTAGCGACCAAAAATTCGGTCGCTAATCTAACCAAATCTGAAAATTTTCGTTTAAAATTTTGTATATCCAATTTGACAAAATTTGTACCTGCTTAATTCATCCAAACATAACACAAATGAAAACTTAAGAACTAAAGTCAAATTTTGTATATCCAATTTTACAAAATTTGTACGTGCTTAATTCATCCAAATATAACACAAATGAAACTTAAGAACTTAACAACTACTCAAGATTCAAAGTCTTAATATCATAAAATTGAAAATTAGTCCTCTAGTATATTGTCAGTGTCATATTGACTTGTAGTAGGAATTTTATGAAGGAAGCCAAGATCTATTAATTATTCTATTACAATAATAATCCTAATTAATAATTGAAGGTCATTCTTTGAGGAAGCCAAGATCTCGTCCGATTCTGGATCAATGAAGGTGTGACTCGAAACTGCTCAGCTCCTTCATTCTTCAATTCTCCGGCCCATTTCACTCTTTGGGATGGACGAAACCCGGTCCGGAACACCTGCACTCTTATCAAATTACTCCAAACTTGTTCAAC